AAAAAACGTGGCAACTGTGTTATCGTTTTTGTGGATGAAAAATTTACCAGTCAAACGTGCGCCAGATGTATTGGTCGATTTGATCCGAGAACCAAGAGTCATCGATTTAAGGTATGCCAAAATTGCCGTCCACGCTTTGAAGCAATGTTGCCATCCATGGTAGTAGCAAAGAAAGGGAGACGACAATTACGACTCGATCGATTGCAAAATTTTTTGCTACAGCTTGAAGCGATTGAAAATGCAACAGAACCAGATCAACAAAAAGCAGACTCTTTATTGTCAAAGGTGTTGATTCACACATATGAATGGCTAATAAACCCTGTAAATGGCGAAATGGAAAATGTTGTGGCTGAACAATCGAATGAACTGTATCAAGAGAGTGGATGGTATCAACAACCTAGAGTACGGAAGACTGTGTGGGACCGCGATATCGTTGCCGCTAAGTGCATTTTGATTAAAGGTACATATGAATTTAAATTGTACCATGAAACAACGTATTTCTTTGCATATTAATTGATTTGTATTTGTTGGATTACTTTTAAGGGCTTTTTAAGCTGTTTAACATTCCAATCAATGAAGCTCTTCTGCAACATGTACCTTGGAACTCACCACCTGATAATCAGCATTAAACATCTACCATCGATCATTTTCATCAAATTAATTCAAAAATTAATATAGTAACATAATGTTACATTACCGCTAGGCTTGAGTGTTGTGGCCTAGTTAGCGCAAGCAGGAGTACTACATCCCATTGAATGTAAGTAAAAATGATATTGTTTAATACTTTGTTTTGGTTTGTTGCCCTCAAAAATGAAAATATTGATTGCAATTTTATTCTTGGACACAAAAAATCTATTCACATTGTAGGAGCTAACAAACAAATTTTAGCTGAAGATTATTTTCACAAAAATATTTATTTTTATTATTGGTTTGTATTTTCAGTGCTGATGTCTAAAACTCAATTCAATCGGACACCCTAGTGTAGAGTCAATGAATTCTATATATATTATTATTTCACAAACTAAGCGTGTAGTAGACGGTTGAGTGGAAAAAAACTACGCATTCACGTGAAAAAGTCATGGTAAACTAATCACTTAACCTTCGCAGTACTTCAAAAAATTACACATTCTTTTCAAAAAAATTGAGTCGATGTACTAAAAGATTCAGACTGTTTAGATGACATTTGAAATATCATTTGTGTGACATACAAGAAATATTTATTGGACAATTAAAATTATTTGTCTTCGAAAAAATGATCTCTTGACGTTTTTTAAATGTATTAAGTGTTTTTATAGTAAATTCCAAATAAAATCAAAGATAATATTTATAATTTGTTGAACGATCATGTTAGTAAAACCATAAATAATGCTTATTTGACATTTGAATGATTCATTTGATTCAAAGTTTTATAATTCGTGTCTACCCCCTTGACTCAGGTCCTGAGTCTCAGGAGCTTAATAAAAATCCAACACTTTTGGCCAAAAGCCAATATTGAATAGGTTTTAATCTCAAATTATCTAGGAGTTTTGATCTCAATCAAAACACTGTGAATATTGCGAATATTTTGCGTAAATTCACTGCGAACATTCGCTAAATATTTGCAAAATGCGTACATTCAACACATGATTTGAAAAATATGCTATATATATTCAATTGATGTGCCGCCATATTGGTAGTTGATATTGGTTGACATATTGAGCCGTATTTTGTGAATATTCTGCGAATATTCTCGTAACATATGAATTTTACTCCAAAACAATCGAATAATATTATATATATATTCACGAATTCCCCTAGCAAATTATAAACCTTTTTAAATAGATCAAATTATGTTTAAGTTATATTGATTAATCGATCGCACAAATCATGTCATATCATCAAAAACTCGAAACAAATTGGATCATTTCATCCCAAAACACATTTTTGGGGTTAAAGAAACGTGTAAATAATAAATTCCTACAGACAATAATAAGAATAAAGTAAAAACATGCGCTCGCTCTATGCACGTGGAAATTACGTCGTGGCATTGACGCAAATTGAATGATGTATATAAGAAGGCTTAGACATCTCTAATTTATCACATTCTATTCGTACCGTAAATAGAGTGATTTTTATAATACTTCGAAGCGGAAAAATGAATTCAATTTTACTTGCAGCATTCTTGTTATTCTCACCAGTTTGTCAGGTATTTAAGCACTTTATCTAAATCAATTTTCAAGTTCTTTTCATTTTCGATTCTTAAAATTTTTTAATTTAAATCGATCGGTATTATTCGAATTAATTTCCGATGTAACGATCACACGGACCAATTCATATTTAGGGTTTTTCTTAAATAGAATGAGTGAGTTTCACGGGACGACATTCTGTTGTTGCTCTGCAGATATGATTTTGGTCCTTGAATGTCTTGAAATTAAAATCTAGCCTCAAAAAAAAAGAATAACATTTCAAAAATATCATTTTATATTCCGCAGATAATCAATGCTCAACAATTTTCATTCGATGATTTGGCGAGCAAGTTTAATACTAAGGTTGATGCGATTGACACGAACATGAGGCTGAATTGTAGTTTCATTCTCAAAAGTTTGGGTTCCAACGATTTCTCCAATATTGAATTGAAGCTCAACGCACCATTGAACCCACTTTTAAGCAATGACAAATTGGAGGCTTTGGTGACAAAAGTGCCCGAAGGCGTCAAATTGAAGAAAACCAACGTTCGTGACTTCCTACGTAGTAAAATCGAAACATTCAACAATAAACAAATAGAAAATCGAAATTTATTGGATCAAATTTGGGCAGAAGTTACAGTTGATGTGTCAAGGAGAATGGATGATCTTTTTCTGAAATCGTTTGTACAATGGGAAAAAAATTCGGTCGATATCAATCACATGAAAAAGGTCATAAGCAATTTGACGGATGCGATCGTCGAATTCGATGAAATGAATAAGGTATTCGGTGAACAATTGGAGGCAGCAGATATGGCAAGAATATCAATTGAAGAGGATATCTCATCGTCCGCAATGGTGTTCAACAAACTTTTAAAAAAGTCAAAACTGACAACGAGCATTATTATTGAAGAGGTTGTTCCCATCTTTAGTGTAATATTCCAAAAGCTAGCTGAATTTGAGAGTATTATTCAAAAGGAAAATGCTCTTACAAAAGAATTTAATAACAGGCGCATCGTTTGGGCGGATTATATGATTGGCGTCAGAGAAACGCTTTCGGCAGAACGAAAACTTGTAAAACCATACAAGAAAACAAGAATCGCCAAAAACCTCGCGAAATTGGGAATTTTGTGTGGAAACGAAGAGAATCATCTTTAGAGTGTAAATATAAGTTGTAGGGAACTTTTATTTATTTCTAAGGAAATAATCAATAAATGTCCACCGTGGAAATTAATATTTTTTTATTGAATTTTCATTATTATTTTGACAAAATTCACGAACTAAATTTGATGTTTATCATCAGCAAAAACAAAAATCATATTGGCAGAGACTGTTTCTCAGTGCAATATATGTGGGGAGGTGATTTCTGAGGAGCTGGAGGAGGACTGAGGAGCGAAGCTGTTAATTTTTTTAAGTTAAAAAATGAATAATAACGATTTCAGATCTCTGCTATAA